AATTTAACAATATGGGAACAAATATGTTCAAAAAATTTGCACAAACATGTAAAAATATTAGCATACATGGTTAAAATAATTTGTACAGATAGGTTAAAATTATTGAAACATGTTAAAATGATTTGGACCGATGGGTTCAAATATGGGACAAAGTTAAAATAATTTAGACGATGAGATTCAAATCATTTGAACAAATATGTATATGAAGATGCAAAAAAAATTCGCTTATGATGTTAAAATCTCAATAACTCATAACTTTACGCTTGTTATTCTGTTTTAGACAATTGTTTTTATTCCAATTATTTATTTATTTATTTATTTAGTTGTGAGATCTATTCATTCAAAATTACCGAAAGTGGTTTCGAGTGTTTACTTTCTCAAAGAAATATAAAATGTTGTTTTGTTATTTTAATTAATCGAAAAATGAATCTATTATTTATTTATTTTTAAATTTCATATATTTATATTGATCTTATTATTTGAAAGATGTCAGAAAGACAAATCTACCTATATTAATTTTGTTAAAAATAGAGTTGTAGAACTTAAGTTATGCATTTTTAAATTTTTTTAGGTCAAAATTGAGGGTAAAAATGTTAAAAATTATCCCTAGCATCACATGTTTTTCCGTACCAACTCAGAAGTGTTATGAGTCTTTATAAACAACAAAGACCAAAGCTTGGATCTAGTACTTAATGCACCCCTCAACTTGGATTTACTGACAATTTTTCTATTTAAATGTTGTCACTAATAAATTTTTATTTATTGACAGATTACAAAAATATGTTTTATAAAGATGCTTTGAGATATATAAAATTATCAATAATTAGTAATATTTATCTCTTTAATCATATTGGATAATAAGTTGTTGCCCCCTTGGTTTCTACTAAAAGGTCGAATATTTTTCTATATATCAACAGAAATTTTATAAAAGGGCATTGAGGGAAAAAATTCACTCTAGTGGAGACTGAAAATCTTCTAAGCAAGTCAGAAAGAAAATTAAAATAATGAAATCATTAAGGAGAAAGTGTGTGGAACCTGCAAAAGCCAAGTAAGTTTACTGTCTCGATATGGAACATGGACACCTTCCTTCCGCTTCTTTTCATCACCAAGTGCACTGATAACATTACCGAGCGCTAGAAGGCCCTTGTTGATGTGAACTCCTGTTCAAAGCAATAGCATATTACATAACTCTTTTATGACCAAAAGTGCCTTTAAATGCAAAAACTGGCAAATAAATTCCTCACCTTCCTTAAAACGCAGACCATCAGAACCAGTTCTTTTGGCTCGCTCAGATCCTGCAAGATCCACTAAATGTAATTTGGCACATAGATATTCTTCACTCATACTGTCGTTAAGATTGCTATCACTAGGAAAAGCTGGATTGAACTTCCGCATTTGCTCTAATGTGATGGTGAAGATGGCATGTGAACGACTGCATAAACAAACAAACAGATTATAAGATAAAAAATAACAACCAGATTATGAGCATCAACCAACACCTAAAACATTCAAAAATAGATTATAAGAAGAAGCCATTATAACGATGAAAATAAAAAATAAAGAAGCTTGACATTAAGAAATAAAGATAGATAGATCATTTGTGAGATTAATTGAAAGCAAGAACAGAGTGATAGCAAGAATTTATCAGTTTGTAAATGAAAGAGAGATAATCAGAAAATAATGACAGAGGGAAAATCTGAAAAGAAATCGTTATGTTTTCTAGAAACAATTTATAGAACACAATCAGAATAATAAATTTGCATCAAACACAACCAGAATAATAAATATGCATCAAACATCATCTAATTCCAGTAAAAAAGATGCCTGGTGGAAAAAAAAAAAAAAAAACAAACAAACAAACAAACAAACATGCATCTCTAACAAAACTTCATTATTCTTTTCCATTATTAACATACATACCTCAGAATTAACAAGAATAACTTCAGGAAACTTTATTACTTTCATCAACCAATTAGGTTTCCGCGACACCATTTATCTCATCCAGACGTTAGAATGAAAAATGAAGGAAATAAAGTACCAATATGTATATTAACAGAAGAAAAGTACCTGTAGACACCACATTTTTGACCGACCTTGAGACTTAGACGTCACCAGTTGAGCACTCGGTGATATTGCATATTGTGCTCGTTCAGAAGTTTCAGAGTCTCGACTGCGGGCCTTGCCTCCGGACTTTTGGACTCTTTTGTGCTTTGCCTCGGTTTGCGAACCAGGCTCCGTTTTCTCTGTTTTCTCTTTTTGAAGGCAGGGAGAGGTCTCGTAGATCATCTCTCAGTGACCGTAGGCTACGTTTCGTGGTCGTAGGCCGTTTTGCCCGTTTGGAGTCCGGTTTCCGATTTTTCAGAGCCGTTGGCCGTGTGCCTCGGTTCGGGACCGCTTAACCACCTCCGTTTGCTCCAGTTTTTGGCATGCATCTTATTTAATCCCTTTTGAGGGACACTGCGGTCCAAGAGACCAACTTCGTGGTCGGACACCACTTCCGGTGCCTAACAGCCCACTTTCGGGGCCCCGAACTGCGTGTTTTGGCTGCCGAACCTTCATTCTGTATTTTTGGGCTCCGACCCAAACTTAAGATAGTCATATTTTGAGGTCCTTTTCATGTTTGATTAAGGACCTTTTTCTGTTTGACATGTCCTACTGCCACTTGCTTCTTTACCCCTCTTTTAGGCCTTTTCTTGCATGATAGTTTAGGCCTACTTGTATTTATTTTCGTGGCTTGTCATAAACTAAAAAGTGTCTTATTTTGAGCCCCTCTTCAACTTTGTTGAAGGGCTCTCTTCAGTTTGAGATCTCTTACTATCACTTGCCCTTTTATCTCCCTTTTAGGCCAATTTTGAGGGGAAATTTGAATTTCATTTCCCCCCCATTTTTCCCCCTCTTTTCCACCCTCTTGTGTCTATATAACAGACCCCCCAGCTGTGTTTTAGGGGTTAGAAAATTTTTAATTATAAGGTGCAAACGGTCCACACTTTTTGAAGGGCATGCACCATAGTCTTTCCCGAGTTATTCTTGACCACCAAAGATTGAACAATACCAAAATTTTAAGCCTTTGCCCTGCTTTCAAGACCATGCCGAATAGGCTAGCCTTTTGTGGGCTTTAATCAAGTCTCAAACTATATAAATCAACCCTTTAATGGAAAACAAAAAAACAGATAACAGATTCTTTAAAACTCAATTTTCCTAAAACAGATTCTAGAACAGAGTCAAAGAAATTTTCAGTCCTGTTTTTTTGTAAACTGTTTTGTGATCTAGAAAAAAAAAAAGGAATGCTATGCATTTGCGAAAACTGGTTCTTGAAAGAGAAAGAAACCCAAAAAAGGAACAAGGGAAAAAAAATAACATCAATCCTTGAAATACAATCTTAGACAAATTTTTTGAATTCAAAATTTTGAATTCCAAAGGAAACAAAAACAATTAAAAAAAAATCAATTTTTTTTATGGATTTCATCTACGGTAATCCAGAAAAATGAAAAGAGAGCCAAAAATAAAGCAAGAGGCAATGCGCTTTGTGCAAATTATTGGAAATTCAGGGCAACAGAGAATTCGTAACTCCAAACAATCAATAGTAACATCTAAATTCTTTCTCAAATCAAGAAATTTAAACACCAACTTGCATACCCAGAATCTTAATTATATGTAATGGTGTAGAATTGCATACCCAGAATCATTAGGAACGATTCTCGAAATCTTAACATTCTTTCGAGAACCCTTGTAAAGCTCCTCCAAACTACACACCAACTTTTTTTCCACAGGAGCCGCTTTCCGAATCGTCTGATTTCCATTCGAATTCTTCGACCCATTTTCCCTAAAACGTCCACTCTTCCCTCCACAATCAGATCCACCAACCAACTCTGCAAAATCAAAATAATTGGTAACCTAATTATAAAATTAAAATCAACCACCGTCCACTCTTCAACTATGCTAATAAGTCAAAATCAAATGCTGTGTAAAAAATTCTAAATCACAAGCCAAGACCACCGTCCACTCGCATTTTGGGCTATTTAATTACAAAATAAAAATCAATCCGAATTTCTAATTTTAAAATCAAAATAACAATTAAAACAACAATCAAATAGCCCAAAATGCGAGTTCGAGGACTGGAGAGGCAGAAATCTTACCTTGCGAGACTGGAGAGCAGAGTCGAGTTTGAGAGGCAGAAGACAGGAGAGCAGCGGAAGAAGGAAGGTAGGAAAGAAGAAGAACAGACAGGGAGAGAGATAAAAAGGGAATGAGGCGGAGAGCGGGTGAGAACAGAGAGGGAGAGAGATGAAGAGAGAATAGGGAGGAGACGTGGGTAGGTGGAAGGCTGAGGGAGTGAAATGTTTGGGCAGGAACTATATAGATCTGAGCCATTGATATATACCAGGATTGATATTGACCATTGGATCAAAATGTATCTCACATACATTTTATACATTTTCAAAAAGCCTTCTCCCTTATTACATAGATTGTTTGTCCCCATATTGTTAACTTTTGTGTCCAAATTATTTTAACATATGTATGTCAATATTTTTACCTATCTGTCCAAATTTTTTGAAGTTAATAACTTTACACTTGGTAATCTATTTTGGACAAATTTTGTTTTGTTTTTAGATCTATGCCTATGAAACTATGGAAGGCGATTTTGAGTGTTTACTTTCGCCAAAAATATATATATATATATATATTCAATATTAGTCTTATTTGAAAGATCTTGAAAAAACGAATTTACAGACATCAATTTTATTAATTTTTTTTTGTAAAACTCAAGTTATGAGGAGCAACTTTTAATTATTCGATATGTTCATATTGTAAGGTCTGTTCAGTAGATTATCTATAAAAATAAAAATAAAAAATTAATTGGATATCTTTAGTCCTATGATCAGTTTTTATATCACTGCTGCAAAAAACCACTATTACCATTTTCGAAAACATCATTCCCTTTGGTTTACTATTTCTCTTTAGCTTATACACAGATCTTAATGGTTTGGGCGTTTTGACATCGACACTCTCTTCCTCACTCTCTCTATACAGTATTTTGATATCCTCTCATTGGTCTTGGGTGTTCTTCAATTTGAAGAGAGATAGAAAAACAGAGTGAGAGAGTGAGTTAGTTTTGAAACTATATTTCTCCTTAGCTTATACAATGAGATCTTAATGGTTTGGGTGGATGTTTTGGCTCTCTCTCCCTCGCTCTCTCTGTACAGTGTTTTGACATCCTCTCATTGGTGTTGGGTGTTTTTCAATTTAAAGAGAGAAATAGAAAAACAAAGTGAGAGATTGACTTAGTTTTGAGACTGTATTTCTCTATTAAATATATTTTTATAATTACATTTTAATTTTAAGTTTAAATAGTGTTGTGATCACAATTATATTATAATCTTAATATTATTTACACCGTGTCTTCAGACACGGGCATACGCTAGTATATATATATATTACTTAATGTAATTTCCTAATCATGACTTTCATATAACAAATAGTAGTCTTTACGTATTCTTCAAACATACTATTATACACGGAAACCAAAACAAAAATTTTTGGGCAATTTTAGCAAGCAGTTTTTGTTATTTTATTTTAGGGTATGGCTTCTGTCCAGTTTGGGATCAGACTGGACTGTGCTGTTGGGCCCGTGGGGGCTCACCACGGGTCCTGTTTTGATAATCTGAACCGTTCAATATGTAGAACTCGTCGAGTACTATATGCCTGTAAAAAATTACGTTGATCGGATATCGATAGCTATATGATCAAATCAGTTTTGTATTAAAAAAATTGGACGGTGAATAAATTAATGATTGACAAAAAACTGTTTTGATCACATAGCTATCGATATCCGATCAACGTGATTTTTTACGGGCATATAGCACTCGACGATTTCTACATATTCAACGGTTCAGATTATCAAAACGGGACCCGTGGTGGGCCCCCACGAGCCCAATAGCACGGTCCAGTCCGATCCCGGACTAGACAGAAGCCATACCCTTTATTTTATTATGAAACACAGAACAAGTACACCGTACAATTCACCCAGAAAAACCAATCTAAAGAATCTGCTTTATCTTAAAATACTAACATAAACAAATGAAATGTAATAAACCTTGTATAATCCTAATTCAATATAAATCTATCCGTTCAATTTCATGAAGATTATAGAATCTATTTTAAGATTGTTGTATAAATTACGTAATTAAATAACAAAAACATATTCATATTTAATAAATTAATTACAGAATATGAAATCATAGAAAATTGCAACTAGATTGAATAGAAATACAAAATAAGATAAAATAAGAAAAGAAAGCAAACTGAAACCTGTGTGATATCACAATTTTCTTGAAACAGATTCGCTGTCTCACCATGGGTGCTGAAGGTATATTAGCGTCTGTCTCCTAGAATGTAATGGTATAGACCCGCTAACATA